CTAATAGTACTTCTGTGGGGGCTTTCCCATCAGGGGAGTTTGGATTCGGAGCGTTCCGATACATGCATAGAAAAGCTTGAATTGCATCCTGTAAAGCCCTGCTTTACAGAGTGCACGTTTGAACGTATCCACGAACCTTTCCGCCTGTCCGTTTGATTGCGGATGATATGGTGGTGAGAACATCTGCTGAATTCCCTTTTCCTTGCACCATTCGCGTCGAGGTAAATTGTGTTCCATTGTCTGTCACTAACACCTCTGGCAGGCCGAAATATCAGAACAGCTTCTCCAGCTCGTTGACAGTGTGCTGTGCAGTCGGATTGTTTACCGGAATCACATCAGGTCACTTGGTGAATGGATCAACCAAAAGGTGATAGGATTGGCCATTGATAGGTCCTGCATAGTCTAAGTGTAATCGTTGCCACGGTTTCTCTGCTTTAGGCCAAAGTTACCACTGACACTTGGGAGGAGCCTTCGCTGCAAGTTAACAAGATTCACACTGTTGGCAGAATTTTTCAATTTCCGAATCCATTTCTGGCCCGTAAACAAAACTGCGCGCCAAGGCCTTCATGTTGCTGGTACCAGCGTGCCCCTTGTGGAACTGCTGCAATTTCGTAGGCATTACCACTCGATCTCCAAACATCAGACATTTGTCCACGACTGACAGGGCCGAAACTCCATAGGTATGCCTCCGTTTGGCCAACATGTTCGTACACATTGCATCGCTTTCTCCAAGATTCTGTCCCGTGATGTTTCTATACGAATGTTTTCGGCTGTTACTGGTAGTCCTCTTACATTATCAGCCAGGATTCGTTGGAATTCTGATTCGAAACTGATAGCTGCAATCACACAATCCTCATTCTCTTTTGGGTGTAAACTGATGAGACGAGACAGGGCATCCGCTTGACCGATTAGTTACATCGGTTTGTACTGCATACTGAAGTCTTAGGTCAGTATTATGGTCGCCCATCGTTGCAATCGGTTTGCCGTAAAAACTGGAATTCCTTTCTTTGACCCGAATATGGACAGAAGTGGCTTGTGGTCAGTCAGGAGCGTGAAATATCTGCCATACAGCATCTTATAGAACCGTTTCATTGTGAAAACGATCTCGAGCGCTTCTCTACCTGGCTATAGTTTTTTTTCAGCTGGCGTTAGTGACCGTGCCTCGTGCGCGATAGCCTTCTCTCCTCCATGCGGAAAAACGTTGGAGATAACGGCACCGACACCATAATTGGAAGCGTCTGTAGCAACGACAATATTGAACTTCGGATTGAAGTGAGGCAAGAGTAGATCAGAAGTGAGAGCTGCTTTGACTGCATCAAAAGACTGCTCGCACTCCTTCGTCCATTTCCTACCCTTGTCTTTTGTCAGTAGCTGGTTCAGTGGACCTCTGGTTTGATGAAGGCTTGGTAAGAAAGCGCTGTGCTGGCTAACGAGCCCAAGAAACGAACGGAGTTCTGCAGTGTCTTCTGGTGGTTTCATCTTTTTGCTGGCTTCAGAATTGGCGGAATCCAGCTTCCTGTAGATGCGAAAGCACTCTCTCCAGTGTCTGTATCAAGTCTTGCGGATCTGAGCCCATAAGCAACGCATCGTCCATGTATACTGCTGTATTTGGGATATCACTCAGCAGGGTATCCATTATTTGTTGGAAAATAGCCGTTGCGGTTTTAACTCCGAACGGCAGTCGGTTGTACTGAAATGGTCAGAGGTGGATATCTACTGTCAGTAATGTTCTCCACTGACGGGCAACTGGGATTTGCAGATACGCATCAGCTAGGTCAAGTTTTGCAGAACATTTCCCCCATTGAGTTTGCTGAACAGATCTTCTGGCACCGGCAGGGGATACTGATGATCTTCTAACACAGAATTCAAATCTTTCGAGAAATCAGCACAAATACGGACTTTACTGTTTCCTTTCTTTACCACCACGATAGGTGCTGCCCATTCGGAATAATGAACTAGTTCGATTATGCCTTCAGATTGTGATCGGTTTAACTCGGCTTCCACTAAGGACTGGGTTGCATAGGGCACCGGGCTTCTTGGTCTAAAGACTGGCTTGGCGTCTGGTTGGAGGTTTAATGCGACAGTAGCTATGTTGCAGCATCCGAGACCCAGTTGGAACAATGCATCGTGACCTCGTTTTATCTAGGCAATCTGACTTTGAAACATCGGGCTTGAAGTTGACGGTTGCGACAGCAGATTGACTTGTGTTGGCTGACATATACTGTTCACTGATTTATCAAGCAGTTTCAGTTCATCCATCCAGTCAAGCCCCAACAAATCTAACCCCGGCTGATTTATCACGAAACATGTCGTCTGGATTTGTTTATCGCGGAAGTTTAGGTGACAATTCAGTTTGCCAAGCAATTTTAACGTACCTCCTGAAGCATTCCGTGCCGTGTGGCCCGTTTGTATGAGTGTCGGTCGCCCCAGCATACACAAAGTGTCGCGAGATATCAGGATGATATCTGCAGCCGTGTCGATTTGTCACTTGACTTGGAAACCGTTGATTTTCACAATTGTGTATTTTCGCTTGCTGGCCCCGTTAACCTTAAAAGTTGCGGTGATAGATCTGATCACATTGGGACGCCGGAACTATCTGGCATTGTTACGCATCTACTTGGACAAAATTGGACAAGTCGCCAGGCAACATGACTCCTTACGCCTTTTTCTGCCCCAACGGTTGCAAGTGTGGGTTTTGAATGGGCACTCGCGGGCAAAGTGCCACTCTACAAAACCAACATGCAGTGGGAGGTTTAGAATGCGGTGACCTCACTTGGGGAGCTTCTTTTTGGGGAGTGCGGCTGAGTGCACAGACAAAACCTTGATCCTTCTGGTTTGACAACAGCTGAATCATTGCGGTATCGTGCTTCAGATTCGTCATGCGTTCGCACTCACCGGCCACTTGCTGCAATGTGACATCCGGATTCTGCTCAATTTTGTTCAGTATTCGTGTTCACATACCGGCGTCTTTGGGTTCTTGTAGACCACAAACGTATATGAGACATTTAAACTGATCACTTGTCATCTTGTGCAGTTGTGACCGTTCGCACTCTCGATTCACACGGCTGGAGTAGTCGACCCAGTCTTCGTCTTATTTTTTTGGTATTGTCAGTCACTTATACCGTATGTTGAACAAAGATGTCTGCTCTCCGAAAATCTGCGACGGGACTGCAACCACTTAATGGAACGACAGATTGATACTTTTTTTAGGTAAGATAAAATTGGTGAACTTCTCGTGTTCGGCAGCACCCAACTTCCGTAGCATTAGTCGAGTCTTCTTTTCTGCTGGAAGGTTGGCGAATTCAACCTGGAACGTGTCTTCATACTTGTGGGACCAAGAAACAAATGTTATACCGGCATCAGCATCATAATGGAACTCACTGATCTGCTGAGTCAGGGTTTCGGGTGAGGGAACACTTTCACTTGTCGTTTTCGGGCCAGTTTGCCGTACTCCTTGTCGAACCAATGTGGTTTGATTGGTCCAACTTTCCGATACTTAAGGGGTACAAATCGGGCGCACATTGATGGTGTTGGTGCATGATGAAGATGGTGTTGATGGTGGTGACTGTTTTTGATGATTATGCTGGATGATGGTAATGATTATGATGGTGAGTGTTGATAATGATTATACTGAGGATGATGCTAATTATGCTGATCCTGGTGCTGCTGCTGCTGCTGACGATGATGATTGATGATGATGATGCCTTTATCAAGGATACGAAGCCTAAGCTAACTGCGTCGTACCAAACGTTTACTAGAAACTACGACAAATAAAGCTTGTCTTACTTGCTGTCCAGACAGAAGAATATAACCAGTTATCCTGTAACTGTTTTTCTCTACGGTATTTTAACCATAGTACATACATATAGGTTTTTGCGATTGTAATGAATGAACGCGAAAATTATGACGCGGGGCGTCAGCATGCGAGTTTTAGCCAGTGTCAGAATAGTATAGATGACTTGGAAACGTCAAGGATATGTCATTGGTCGAAAATGCAATGAGTACATGTGCGACATGATAACCGATTGTAACGTACAGAGTGAAGCTACACAAAATAATCAGGATAATTAGGGAATTGAGATACCGTGTCATCAAATAAGCAATCGAGATTGGGGATACATCAAAGTTCCTTTTGGACGCTACAATGACTATGCTGATGATGTTGAATATCCCAACACATGTCCTAGGGCTTGCCGTAACACGGTAACCAATTTCTGCACATTGGACTAGTGGGTTGCTAATCCCATGGTAACAGATGAAAGCTCTCGTACATAAAAATTTTGTATGCCATTACCTTTTCTGTGGCTGCCGTTTTCTTACGTGGTTTTTTCAGAACAAATGTTAGCCAACTAGCTCGTTTTCAGTGATCCTTCCTCAGACGAATACATCACAAGTAAACCCCATTCGTGATATTTTCCTTCCTGTTTTCATATCGGTGCGAATTACATCAGTACATCGCCGTCGCTTTCAAATATCTGTTAGACTTAAAGTTCCATCTTGATTAAAAAATTTTCCCTGACGTATTGACTTTTGTTGCACTTACAAAGTTTACGCTACCCCGTCTTCTACTGATATCTTGTAATGGTTACTTCGCCACAACACCTTCGATTAATGTTACAGTTTTTCTGGTTGTATTCCTCTATTAAGTGTGCTTAATTTAGTCCCATGGCCGGTTTTTTAAACATTTGATCGAATGCCCAATCAGTTTGCGTCTACATGCACTCGCGATTACCGTTAGCGAGTGCATCCTTTCCAGTCTGATGTTTTTAATACCTCTCGGAGTCTTGTTGGTGAAAATATGTAGGCTTTTCCCTAGTGCCTATTCCATCGCTGAACTCTTTTGTGAATTTGACTATTCTATGGTACTTAGGCGTTTTCTTTTTAATCATTACATTGAGTCATAATCTACGCTCTCTAATGACCGCTTGAAATTGCTCCTTGGGTGTTAGTCTTGAAAGCTTGCATATTGATAATTCCCTCCAACTGCTTTTCCCCTCTAGGGCGTTTAATCAATACCACATGACCTTTGTTCGACCGGACGGTGTAGATATTCAAGGCCCCTTAAAATTGGAATGCGATTGGACCATAGCGGAATACGTGGCTGGCTACGAATAATTCATATACACATATTGATCGGCTTTTTTCTGCTTGCTCGTTTGCATACAACGTTTCATCCACACCCACCGTTTTCTCTCTATGTTGCTTTCCAGTTCCTAGTAATTATTTTCAGGTAGCACGTTTTTACGGAACGACATATTTCTTTCCAACCTCATCATGCCGTAGTGCAACTTTTATCGCGAAAAATGCCCTCTGTCTTCTCTCTTGGAAGTGTCTATCGATATTTTACATTGATCAAGGAATTGTGCGGAACTTTACTCTTTCTTCCCTCAGTTGTTTCGGTTTATTTGGTTACTTAAGCTTCGTGTACAGGACTGTTATCTTGACTTATCTATCCACAACACTATTTAACATAAGGTGAAGTTTGGTGTATCCGAGTTGGAAGTAAGAATTCGTGCGGTTGGAGTTCTTGTCTATCTGTTTTTTCAAGCACAACCGTTAGGATCGGTGACGGGGTGGTTCAACCATTTGGCTTGTACTTCGCTGATTACTGGCTGAATTTTGCTTAGCCACACACGATTGCGGTATCCGGACCCCAATGCAATCACTTTTGGTTTGCATCATAGCGTAGCGTCGATACGGGACTTCAACACACTGCTGATCATTTCCTCACACCCCACACATCACCTACATTAATTGTTTTGACCACGGTTGTAACCTTCCCAATTGTTGCGATTCCGAAATATTCACTTCACTGCTCCACAATACCTCTGGCCCCAACGATGGCAGCTTCAGTACGCAGACGACCTTGAGGAAATAACGCGTCAGCCGCCGCCAAAAGTGGAAGTAGACTTTGGTCGCATTTTTAAGCTGTCTAATGACCTTTGATTACTGGAATTGCGAGGTCAGCCGGCAAAATTAGCAGTGCAATACCAACCAACCAATCTTCAATTGACAGTCACGTACAAGTCTTGGAACATTCCACTATGTTCGAAATCGATGCGATGATCGATACCAATCAACTAATCCTTGAAATAATGACTTCCGGGAAGTTCTTACCTTCTTGACATCTCTCCTCCTGAGACAGCATCTGCGGTGTATGATGACAGCCTGGAATTGACTTGCACTCCGGCCGTCATCAATACACGTTAGTTGAGAGTGAATAACACGCCTCAGGTAGTGTGTCGCAATACAAAAATGTCAACTACTAAAAATTTACCCTACAAAGAATTCAAAATGCAGGTAATATAACGTTAAATATTATCTTATTCAATTCGAACGAGATTGTAATTGGAGGGGGAATCTAAAGAGGACCGGGTGGACAAAGAGGCTCTCAACACAAACGCCATTGAGGTCGGCCCTTCACCATCTCAGCAAGTGTGTCCAACCAAACGTGTTCATCGTCCTTAGAGTTTCGGCCAGACAGTCGGGATGCACCAACCGACGCCAGTTTCGAAGTGAGGGTTTTGATTTCTCTCGACCAAGTCCTCGCTTGGCCTCTCCTCATCAAACCCCACTCCCGGTGCGAAAACAACGCACGTCGTGTGAGTCGGTATGCTGGCATGTGCAACACGTGACCCAGCCATCGAGGTCTGGGGCGTGATATAATGGTGTTGAGCGGTTCACTCGCTCTTCATACACCCAGTACACCACGCCGAACACATTCATAGCTTACGCGGTGCTCCCACCAGACATGTGCTAAGCTGCGAAGGCAGCGATGGTCGAGCGTATATAGCCTCTTTATGTTTATCGACCTGGTGGGCCAGGTTTCACAACCGTATAATAGGTTTGAATGGGCAGCTGCATTATAAACTCTGCCTTTTATTGCTGGAGTCATGTCGCGTCGGCACCCTAGGTAGCGAAGGCTGGCAATAGCGCCTCGTGCTTTTTCTACGCGGTTTGTAACCGCGTCTTCAATTCCAACGGCGCTGATACAACTACATAGGTAGTTGAACTTTTGCACGACTTCTAGCTGATCCCGGCCAAGCGTCAGCGCAGGAGTGGGTCTCTGGCAATCTTGGAGTAAGACTTTGCATTACCATGGAGCAAAGCATAGCTTAAAGCGATTGATAACCAGTGGTAATCGGTCATGCCGTAGGCTTTCGATCTTCGACAACACATGTTTGCGGTGGATAGCCCGTGTATGGTGGCAGCACCGGGTTCATAACCATAAAATCCGGTGTCGCATCTTGGGAAACATGGACCCTTTCTCGCAGTGCGTCAGTCGAGGTGGCTTGACCACAGTTTACGTATGTCATGCGAGCGCTTACTACACCGTGCACAATTTGCTCACACGGTATTGAATTGGTAGAGATCACGTGAACGTCGGCCAATCACTTGGCGACAAACCATGAAATCGCTAACCTCCTGTGGTCGCAATTTTCGACCAAGTACGTCTTCCTGGTTTAGGCCTCGAGGATAAGGACTGCAAATGGCTCGACACACTTGGAGATATGGTGCAAAATCGGAATCAGTCGATGGATTGTATATTGAAACGCTGTGAACAATATGTTTAGAACCATACCATTCAAAATGCCCAAAAAAAAACAAATTGGCGTATGCAAAAGTACGGAAAGCCAAAAGCCCACAAAATATTTATTACCTGTTCTTGACCTTTGTGCTTTCTCATGGTTTTTTCATCATGCTTTTCTGACGGCTCAATGTTTATTTATGGAATACCGTATATATATATATATATATATATATATATATATATATATATATATATATATCCATCCACACACCCCATATCCAGTGTAAACCCGAGGAATAAGACCGGGATGCATGCGGATGGGAGCCATGTCTCATCAACGGAGCCGGCCCACACTCCTTCACAGGCAAACACAAGCACGCTGTATTTGGGGAATCAAGCGCACACGAGGCGGTGGTTGGACCGTAGTCCGCTCCACACTGACTGCATGGAACCACTCTTCGAGCCTAGCACGGCCACAAGGACCGTGCACCCCGTCCCCTCCAGCAATGAGCAACTGTCCCCTGGATCCCGATGGACGAGGTAGTGGGTAATAGACAGGTAGACACCTTGTCAACATGCACATCAAGCACAGTCACACCTGGGATGTCAAACAACAGCCAATCATTCGAAATGCCGATATCGAATAAAGTAAACGCATATGACGACATAATTACTCGCCAAATGAGCATATGGAAGAAATTCGTTAAATGTGAATACGCCATAAGTACAAAATGTCCGAAAGTTATTTAAAAAATACCACGCGATAAAATTACGCAAGTTTACCACAATTTGCATGGGCGACGTGTGTAAGTTGGGAGAAGATTATCAAGTAGGCAGAATAAAAATAAAATTAAATGTAATAAATGTTATCCACATTAAAAGGACCTAGCTTAAGTGTAAGTTGGTTTATCCCAACCGCGGTGAAGAAGCATCATGAATGCGACGTCAGCCTCAGTATGGGGCATATATATATATATATATATATATATATATATATATATATATATATATATATATATATGTATATATATGGTTGGCGGCATCTGGTTTCAGATTTGCTTGTGTGCTGTGGTCAGCCACAGGACTCTTGCGCATACAGAGGGACCACGGGTGGCTTGCGCTGCACCACCCACAGCTCCAACCACACACCCCATATCCAGTGTAAACCCGAAAGACTAAGACCGGGAGGCATGCGGATGGGAGCCACGTTTCATCAACGGAGGTCATGTCCAGTGAACGCCGTTTCTTCCACTTCCAATTCTGTATAAGCTTTTTTTACCCAAATGAGTACATTTTCAGCATTTTACATATTCAGCTGTAAATCTACGCCAGTGTTACCATTGAAAATCCTAGGCTTACAATTGAGTAGCAAAATGAAGATGCACTGTGTTTGGTCGCTAGATCAGCGATCCACAGAAGTTGAACTAAATCTTCGGAATTTGTATCCATTCAAAACGAAAAAAGATTCATAAAAGCGTTTCTTCGGAATTTGTTTTAATTGACGTATATTTTTGTGTCAGTATACATACGTTTAGGCATCGTACACGATATCTCGCGCTTTTGTTCAATGTTGGGTAGAGTAGAGGGTCTCAGTAATCTTGGAAGTTGATTGAACAAAATATATGTCAGTGTAATCTTACAAAACTGAGATATATACAGTGGATGATTTAAAAAATGATGTTCGGCGAAAAAGGCAACGGCCGCTTTAAAGGTGAAATTAAAGATTAAAGGTGACAGCGGCCTACCTTGTCTCAACCCGATGAAGGTATTGAAGGGCGGCGATAGTTTGCAGTAAACCCTCATTCCGCCTGAACTATGCGCATGCAGCGCTGTGATAATGTTTACGTATTTATCTGGCGCACCTCTCCTGAACAGACATTCCCAAACGGCACATCGCTCCAGCGCATCGAAGACACGACAACGGTTAGTTTCCAATAAATATGACGGTGCTCCAACAATTGGTGCGTAGTGACCGTATGGTCGATGCGGTCTCGACGACAAAACCCGGCTTGCTGCTCACGAATCTGGCGTTCACGACTGCCAGTCTGTGGTGAACGACAGACGCAAGAAATTTAAATGCAGTTGAAATTGATCTGGTCTCTGTGATTGCCGCATTTCGGATGAGAGCCTCCCTTTAAAATTGAGATTATGACAGAGCGGCTCCAGTCTGTCGGGATAGCCTCCTGTTCCCAGTGTTTCGCTAGTAACTCGTGTAAATCATCCAGAGAATTTCCCTCGAATTCGAGGAGGGCTGGGGGGATTCTATTTGCCCCCGCGGCCTTATGCAATTTCAACAGCCTGTTCTCACGTTCGACTTCTGCGGGTGAGAGTGGATCCAAGGAGACGGGCCACGGAGAAGGGCGCTCAATGCCCGAAAAAGAAAGCGATAACTTAGGTAACAAAGTGTTCGGCCCAACGTTCCAAACGTTTTTACAAGCTGTGGATCGGTTGTCTACTCTCGTCGAGTATGGTCTCGCTAACACCAGGTCTCCTGCTGCCTGTTTCCCGTATCAGACAGAATAACTTAGAATGATTACCAACGGCAGTGGCTGTTTCCATTTCCGTGGCACAATGAGGCCATGCG